CCGAGCACCTCAGAATCACATGTACTTCCAACAAACTCAAAGCTGGACCTTGCACCTTGCCTTTAAAAAGTAGAGTTAAACCACCTTAGACAATTTGTCAGATCTCTCGCTCCAAACCTTGGATGTCGACGACAACACGGACCCCTGAGAGGATCAAAGATATTGGTCTAGTGAAGTGAGTGCAGTTATGCGAAACCACGTCTTGGATGATTTTTCATCCTCTTCAGGGATCTAGGAAGTGAGGTGATGCCAGACCGCAACCAACAGCGGCGCGCTTCGTGGCGACCAGGTTGCAGGAAGCTTCATGTGTGGCGTTTTGTTCTAACGGTGTTCGGTGTCTTATGGAGTTCAAATTAGCATGAGGGTAAAAGGTGCATTGGTTTCTGGGTTGGGGCTCATGGGGTTGAGGGTCATAGTTTGAAGCTTAGGCTTAGGCTCGAGGGTACACGACGGACTTCGGGCGTGTTCGGGAATGTACAGTGGCACAGTTTGTTTTGGTATACATTCTTGGATCCTGGCCAATGCATAGTTCTGGTTTGCAAGTTTGGCACGAGCTTTCCAGAGCCATCGGGCTGGGCCGGAGGGTGTTGTCTCTGATCCTGCTTAGTGGGGAGCTCGTTGTCGGTAGACAAGCCATCCAGACCTTGCGACCAAAGTTTCAACACAGAAGCAGCCTGAGCTTGCTTGAAATTCGGAGTTCATATCTAACGGTTTGGCTCTGGACTAAAGAAATGCTTAGGGGCCGCGCTCCTCTTTCGGGCACGTCCTCACAAGTTTCATAAGTTACCGAGCCCCAGACCCTGAACGTTGCGTCATCATGAGGCTTGCAATCCGAAGCCGCGTGATGCCCTTGGGTGACGATCTCGATGCCTCGGACTGAGAAACCTAGCATCTGAGTGTTGGCGGCTGCTTCATTTGGTACTAGAGGTCTGTCGCTCATGCTTCACATATCCATACAGCTGCGGCCGAGTACGCCTCGAACACGCTTTGTCAGTGTTTTCAGGGGCTGCTTTGAAGCAGCTGTCCCCGAACCAGGATTTAAAATGAGGGCTAATCCATAAGCCATCGCCCTTCAGGGCCCTTGACATACTACTCCAGGTCCGAAGGTTGATGGTCACCGTGCAGTGACTAGCGATGCTTGATTGCTTGAGTGGAGGGTTACATGCTGGGCACTTGCAGCTCTAATGAAACCCGGTCCAGGTATTTCTAAGTCGACTGGGCACGGGTATGGTTTTAACTGCCTCAATTGTTGTTGTAAGTAGCCTTCCGCAGACTTCTTTGGGCTTCTGTCTATGTCTGCAGCAATTAAACCCAAGCTCAAGTCCACGTGTGATGCAAGATCCCGAGTCCTTAACCACAGCAACGCCGTCTGCCATTAATCCCCTCTTCTTGTTTCAGTTCCGTTATGTTTGTTGGTGCTGTTGCCGCTTTGCTGGGGTCTGTATTTCACTGTCCGCATACTCACGTCTTGCCGCTGCATATCATGCGGAAGTATATTGTTCCTCGCGAGAAGTTTTTTTCATGCAAAATTGAAGTGTCATTATATGCATGCAAGCCTCAAGGAATTTGAGGTTGCCCGCCTGCTACAAAGGTCGAGCCAGAGGACCCGGATGAGTCAGCTCGCGCGAGCCCTGGGCCACGAGCAAACTCTCGATCGGTTTGCGCCTGCGAAGACGAAGATAAATCTACCCATCAACGAATATGACGGCAGCCAAAGACACAGATGGTAGCATCAGCAGAGCAGATACAGCGCAGCAACAAGTCGTGATGGATTGAGTAGTAGCCAAATGAATGCCAGAGTCACGAGCGCTGCAGACAAGGTTATATTAGCCGATTTCCTGCCAGCAGCAGCCGGGAGCAGTAGGAGCAGGAGCAGAAGTGGTGGTGGTGGTAGCAGTAGTAGTAGTCGTCGTTGGCTGAAGTCGTAGTCGCGGATCATTGCTGTCATTGACTGGCGCGAGTAGCCTTCATGACTACAACTTCCACGTCCTGGGACCCTCAACTCCTGAATCCTGCATGCCCTTGAAAACCAAAGCCATGGGCCCTGAACCTAAACGCCAAAACCCCAACACCCCACAGCCCCCAAAGTCATTCCCAAGACAGAAGCAGCAGAACATCAACCTTTTTCTCCTAAGGTCTTAGAGCCCAGAAAGCCCTGTTGAATCAGATCCGCCTTACCCTAAAGCCCTGAACCTTAAAAGCACTAAGCCGTAAATGCTGGACCGCCCGAAAAGCCGTCGAAGCCCTAGGCCCCCAGCGATCTCTATTCTAGAGAATCCCAGCGAGACCTAGAGAGAGCTTTAGGGAGCTGTAGGTTAAAAGGCCTCGAAAGACCCTAAAAGGGACTCCTAGGGAGCCCTAGGCCAGCTGTGGTCGCAGAGAGCGGCCCAGAGGCTCTGGAGTCTTCGGTTTCGTGCTGGGGCGGTTCGTGGTAGAGTGGAGATGTCTTCTAGTGTTTTATAAAACACTACAAGCCAGTTCCAGCAGGGTTTATGGGGCTGTTCTTGAAGGCTTAGGGCTTAGGGTGTTTCTGTAGGGTTTATGGGGCTTTTGTTGAAGGCTGGGGCTTAGGGTGTTTATAGGGGTTAGGAAACGGGTGACAAGGTTGCCGAAGGGTCGTCGCCACTGAAATGTGTACGGTTGGGGCTAGTAACTCAAATCTTGAACTGCCCAACCGGGTCCGCAAGCTTCTCTAACCGGTAGGCGGTGCCTCCCAAAAGCTTTGGTACACAAGCCCAAAGCCGGAAAGGCCCTAAGCCACTTCCAAATTACCGTAACTTGAAGGAGCCTTCTAGAAGCGCTTATAGAAACCCTTACAAGAACACCTTTTTTCTGGGACTCTTGCAGTAAGCCCTCTTCGGGTTTCTTTCAAACCTCCATCGCCACCCCGTCTCCAGCCGGCGCGAGGACGAGCTTCGTTCAGCGGGTGCACGAAGCCGAAGTCGAGGTCACCAGACAGAAGTCTTGTTATATGTATAATAAAGTGGGCCCGGGCCCCAAAACCCTATTCTAATTATGCAAGCCCCCATATTACCTTTGGGCTTGATGTAGTCAGAATCTTGAAGGGTTCGGCCTTTAGCAGAAGATGTCTTTGCTTCGAGTCTGAAGGTTGGGGTCCTGCAACGAACATCAACATGAGGCTTTCAAGCAGAACCCAAGAGCTACTCACGCTGCTACCATGTGCTGAATGTACATGCGCCATGCACGCCAACAGACTGTTGGGCATCGAATCTTTCCCTGGCCAATCCTGCCTTGTGAGGCACCTATATGCTATGAGAGAGTAGAGCAAAACTCCAAGCCCTTTCTAGCACTTCTAGCTCCCCAACCCGTGTATCACTCGAAACCCTTCCCCCCCCCCTCCCCAGTTACCCAAGCCGTTGGCGCAGGCGAAGTCCAAAGAGGCCACGCTAAGATTCAAGGAGCTCCAGGCAGGACTGCCAGAGACCGGCAGTTGATACTTGTTATCAGTGGTTAATATTTAACTCTGTTGGCCGTGTTCTTGGTGTTGGTCGTCGTCGTGTCGTGGCGGTGGTAGTAGTAATCGAAGTAGCAGTAGGTGTCAGTCGTAGTAGCAGTAGATGCAAAGGTAGCAGTGGCACTACCGTCGACGATTGAATACACGTACACCTGTGGATCGTTCTTCAAGAGCCTGCCAGTATTGGATTTAGGGCTGTGGCTTACCAACTCATGCTCTCCGTTTTTGGGCATACGTAGGCATTGGGAACCATCCGTTCATCAAATTTTGGGATTTTGCGCTTCTGGCCTGGTGCGACACACCGAAAACGAATGTGTGTGCGCACAGAGAACAGGATCCTCCACTGCATAACTCTGAAACTCGATATTTGAGTTTCTTGTCTACACAATGAATTCAGCGACCAGCCCGAAACCCTAAGACCTAAGCTCTAAACCCACATAACTTGAAGCTGAAGCCAGGTGCTTTCCAAGGAGAACGCCGCCCCCTGGCAGGCACTGGACGAGGAATTTGCCGGGTTGTACGTGGTGCAGGGTTGAGGATCGAAGGGTTAGGGCCTATGAAGCGTAGGGTAGGGCCCTTATTCCTTTTTTGAAGGGTTCAGGTTCCCTTATATATAAGCCCCTTTAAGCCAAAAGGGCAGCCCTTTTTATTTCTGGGTTACTCTTGGGTCTAGGGGTTTAGGCTTAGGGTTCAGGGCCTATAGGGTTTATAGGGTCCAGGGTTTACGGTCCAACGGTTCTGCGAAAGATCAGGAATCTGGTATCATAACCCGCAACCCAAAATACCTGAAACCCCAAGCCCATGCCCTAAACTCTCAGCCCTATACCTTAGAATCCCCGACAATCCGGCACAAAGCAACGGGAAGCTAAGGAGTTCTGCACGGAGAGCGTTGCGGCGTCGACCGTCAAAGTGTGCCAATCCGAGGACATGGCCAGGCAAGAATGTGGGCCTTGTAGGGCAGGGGCGAACTGAGCGGGAGGTTAAAAATGTTTTGGGTGCTGGCCACTTATGTGATGCTTGCTTTTGAGGCATACGCACACATGGACCTGACTAATTGCTGGACCATCCCGCGTTGTTGAAGCAGCGCTTCCATAAGCTTCAATGCGTGATCCGTTTCGCATTCTCGGCCCCGGATTGTTACGAGCACATCAGCGAGTCATGGCTTGACAAGCGTCGGGCTTTAGGACCCCCTGAACCCAGAAGCAAGAGCTCGCAAGCCAATGTGGTCTTGAGCGACGCGCAGTAGCAGATGCATGTAAACTCTGTCAGCTTAAGGCGAACATGAGAGCAACTCACACGTAGAGCAACTGTCCAAGACTCGAAACTCCGCCTGACTTCTGAGCCACCTTAAACACCATGGATCCTACACAGTTGAATCTCAAACGCTAGAAAAGAGCTTGAGAAAGGCATCCTAATTTCGAGAAAGCCACATGTCTGCACCTTCTATCCCAGCAGAAGCAAAATATGGCAGCCAGACGTAACGAAGCTCAAAGGCCAGTCAAACTAGCATCCCGAAAAGCGCTTCATGGAAACACTTTGTGCTGGATGCTTTGCTGGCCTGTTGACTGGTGCCTTGGGAGCCACGGCATACCGGGAAAGACGCGGCCACGGGGCAGCACGACCTGTCAAGCCGGCATGGCCATGATACTGATTGGTAGGAAGAAGAGCCATGAAGCTCCCGAGTTCCGGGTTTCTCAAGGCCACTTGCGCAGGAATAAGAGGCAGTCTCAAAGCAGAACTGAAGTTTAGGGCGAAGTTCGGTTCGGCTAAACCTCTTCTAAGGGTCCGAATCATGAGCCTGAAGTCCTGGGCCTTCGCTCCTTAATCCTAAACCCCAACCCCACCCTCCCTCCCCAAACGTGTACGAATCGAGGTCACGTCCTTCCGGCAGTCGGCCGCACGAAGCGCCACTCTCACCTCGTGAAAGGCGCCGGGCGCAGCCGTTCTTCACCGAGGGCTTTCAAAGCGGATTGCTTGGTGGATCATGGGACTTAGTAAGTATGGTTATAAGTACCTTAATTGGGGATATAAGTATAGTTACCCAAATAATAACCGTCCTTACTAAGTCCCATGATCCTTTAAGTGGGGTTCTTTCTACTGCAGAGTCTTGCATGGTCTCCACTTTCGTATTATACTGCGCGATTGGAGGCAGGGGAAGCTAGCGTCTGCGTGTTTAGGGCTGGGGATGCAAAAGCTGTTGCATATCCAGACTTTGTTCTGCCAAGCTTCGAAGTCATGAGATTGTAAAGTGTTTATGGCTGAGGGTTTTAAGCATAAACCATAATTAATCAAGCCCATCTTCCTGGACAAGGGCTATGGTAGGGATCCAATAGAACCAGGCCTTTTTGAGGCATCCGTTCTTTCGTGGCTACCACCTCTTCTCAAGGGATGCGGGAGTCCTGAGCTGTGAGAGTTGCACTTGATACAGACATTACTTATGGGTGTAAGGGAGAAGGCAAGCAGCTCGCCCAAAAACTGCATCTACAAGGCAAGACATTTCTCGTGTGACAGCTCTTCTAGATCAACCTCCACTTTACTGGACATTCCGTGACATTCCTAGGACTTAAACGTGCTTACAGGCTAGTTTGATCTTTTTTGGCCCATGTCAGGCCGCGATGGCCTGCCGCCCTTGGCGCTGGACATCCTCGTGGCGGCTCCCCCGAAGAGGCGCCCGTTGGGTGACGGGTCGCCTCTTCGGGGACGTGTCGATTCTCTGCATCGTAGCCGCTGTTGCGGGTTTCCAACGGTGGTGGAGCGTTTTGGGTGCGCAGTATTCTCGTTTCAACTCGGGTGTATTCCTCGCATGCTGGCTGCTGGAACTGCTCGGCAAGAAGTTGCTCCGCAAGCCGTAAGTCCAAAACCGTAAGCCCGAAGCCCTAAATCCTTAAACCGCAGGCCGTAACCCTAAGTACCTAAACGCCTTTGTTACCCTCCTCCGCAGGGCGCCAGGGCCAGAGGAGGAGCCGCTTGTGTCTCGACCAACGTGATAAGTTGGAAGGGGTGCAAAGAGGGGTCCCTTATTTCGAGGGGGTGGGGATCCTTGCGATGATCAGAGTCCTACTGATCCATACGGTTCTGTCTTGGGGTTCCCTATAAGGCCTTATACGAGGCGGGGCTCCGGAAGTTTCGTGCAACAATTTCTGCATGGGCTTCAGTTAAGGTGCCTTCAGCCGCCCAGATTCAGGCGAGAGCAGTATATAAAGCAAGAAGAAAGCCGACGTCGGTCTCCAACCATCCCAAAGCCGCAGTCAAACTTGCCAAACCCCCAAACGCAGGGTTAGGGGTTTAGGGTCCCTAAACCCTCAACCCTACATGTGCTTCTTTGGGCTGGCTGTATCGTCTGAGGTCTTCTACGTCTTAGACCCACAACCCCTCCTCTTCGGCGCTGCTGCGCTCTTCGCGTTTGGACAGGCTCGGGATGCAACTTAGGGATCTGAATAGCTCGTCATACTGACTATCCCCTGAGTCTCCATTATACAGGTGTACAGGTATAACCGTTTCCCAACCTCTATTCATCGAATTACAAGGCCGTTTTGGTTCGCCGCTCTGTGGCCCTTCAGCCAATGGCTTCGAGTTGAGTTTTGATCAATGCGCGCGCGTTCTTCTAACCAGATGAGTTTTCGCGGCTTGGGGTATTGCGGATTCCGAAACACTGGCAGGTAACCATGCAGCACACGTTGTGTGATAGAGGCAAGACATGCGGGAGATGGCACATGTGCAAGCAGAGGGTTAAAGCCTCGCGGCCAGGTTCTGGTGACACCAGCCAGAGACAACTCAGCACAATACAAACTGGAAACACTGGGGCTACTGCTGGTCGGTATCTGGTAGCGTGCACCAACACACTTCGCAGTCTGCAGGTTTGTCTATATGCTCACAAACTGTTGGCCCATATGCTTCGTCTTGTTGATGCTCTGCTCCGCGCAGAGCAGCTACACTTCCTCCTGACTTTGCAGGCCTCGTACTTCGCAAACTCCAAAGCTTGCCCGGAAGCGGCTTTCAGGCGCGATCGTAGTTCTGCCATGCTTGGCGTGTGTACGTGCATGTAGTCATGTAGAATAATGTAGAAAGTGTCTTCTGCAGTTTAGACTGCTTGCGCGACCTACAAAACTTGCAGTGAGCTGTCTAAGCAAGCGAATGCAGTGGCAGTGCTTTCATGCAAGCTGTCGAGCAAGAGTCTGTGAATCGAGCAGGAACAGGCTTAGCAGATGCTATGTTGTGCGGCAGTTGTTCAACAGATCCTGTGAATTCAAACTGTTTGAACAACGGAGCAACTGAAGTTGTTGCAACCTAGCTCCGTTCCCAACTGTGGCTCGAAACATTCACTGAGGTTGCGTCTGGAGTCTGGATACAGCGACAGAAAGAATCGAGGTCTCCGCAAGCAATGCTCTCCCCTGCCCAGCCTGAGGCGTGTTGCAGGCACTCATAATGCTGATTCGTCTGTCCCTGCAAGAAAGCGCGTGTCGCGAGGCGGATGTACGTGGTGGGCATCGGCCATGCAAGCGAGGACTTCTGCTTGTCCGATACGGGCTTCGACGCTCAGGCACGGACATGAAGGGTTCGTAGGTCCCGGAATCAGCAGTCCTTATTAGTTTCTTAAGTCTAAGTGTCACTTGGCCGTGAGCATAGCAAAGCTCTTAAATACTGTTGGCAGGCCCTGCGTCAGCTTCGCCGCAGAGACTTTCCACCACGCAACTTGGAGCAGATGCCTTTGCATATCCATCGTTTGCCACAACTTCAGCCTGAGCCTTACTGGCGCCTGGCACTTGTAACGGGAGGACTTGAGAAGAGCTTGTAGCTGCAAGGAAACGAAGGCAAGGGCCCTCAGCCTGATGCCCCAGATCTTACAGCTTTGAAAATCGTGCAGACCCGAAGCCCCCAAATTTCTAAAGTCCTAAAAATCAAGAGCAGGCAATCATGCCTCCATTCTACCTGGCCGTGAACCCAACGTCCACGCCCGTCGCTTGGTCGAGGCTCGGGAATATCGGAGACCGCTCGCCTTTGTCCCGGCATTTGTCTATCTGTTGTCTTTCGTTCTCTGCCTCTGTCTCTTTCTCGTGCTTTGTGACAGCCAATGTGGTGCAGATGTAAAATTCAGCACGCAGGCCTTGGTCGACGAGGTGCTGCCCCACGTCGAGTGCCTGGGCCTCGTGAGCTCAGGGCTCATGTAGTCACACAAGGTCCCGCACGACCGAGCTGGCCCGGACTCGTTCCGGCGGCCTCCTGTACTCCATACCTCCTTGTTTCGGGACACAGGGCTGGTCTCCCGCAAGCAGGTGGTTTTCCCTGCATCTGGAGCCTTACGCTTTCGCTTTGATTTAGTTCTTCTTCTTCTTGCCTTGAGCGAGAAGATCCTTCATGTGGTCAGTTCGGCCAAACTCTTTTGCCATCAGGCCTGTGTCCTGTGTCTAGCATAGCCCCAAAGGCTAAGCCTTAAACCCTGCACCATAGAAATTGGCATCAGTGTGAGGAAAAAGCTGCTGGGACTGTCCCATCGGCCGCGGCGATGTTTGCTGGGCGCAAGAATCCTGGCGGCTTTCTCATGGGACAGTTTGTAAAGTCTAGCACTCAGCAAGTTCATGTTCAAGGAGCTTGGTCGTTGAGTTCTTCGGCTTGCTGGGGTGGATTTCCGTGGCACCATGCTCGTGACACAGTTTCTGGAAGTTGACGGAAGCATGGAATATTCCTGCCTCGTGTTAGTCGGTCTTTGCGGAGAAACAGCAGTGCTGTAGAAATGACCGGGCTCGTTACAACTCCTCGCTAAGGCTACAGTGCTGTGGTTGCGCTTCAGACGCTGCTGCTGAGGTCCGGACATTAGAATAGCTATTTTCAGGGCATCTACCTTTGGTTGGAAGTTATTTGGGGTGGCAAGACTGTGCACGTACGTGTGAATCTAAGTACAGGTCGGAATGTTCAGTATTAGCATTCCCGCTTACTCCCTCCAGTACAGTATAAGAGACCCCCCAAACCTTACTCCAACTGTTCAGCGCCGTGTATTATCCTTCCCATGACTCCAGCTTTCCAGACCTGGTGCCTTCACTTCCCTGGTGCTGGGCAGCCCGTCAGCGGCTGGTCCTGACTTGGAGCTGTTTAGATTCAGGATCTACAGGCTTTAGAGTTGAGGGAGCGGTGTTATGGCGTTTGGTTCGGTGCTCTGTTGGGTTTAATTAGGGTTTTGCATACTGTTCGCGCCTGTGCCACCATATACATCGCGAGTCGGTGCATGAGGTTCAACCTGCCCAAGTTTCCGAGAAGCTCTTTTGGACAGCCGAATGGTCCTGCCGCTGCTGCTGCCTGCACTTTTTGCGGCTGCTGCTGTTGCTTCGATTGCAACATGTACTCCTCAGCAAGGCCGCAGCCACAACCATCATCACCACTGTAGCCATTCATCTGAATGCAAAGGTTTCCTTTGACCCTGAGATCCTTGAAGACGTCGCTGCTGGCACCTACGTCTCGACAGCCCGGTGCTGAGGGCATGCCACGGGATTGCACATGGGAGTTGTTGGCAATTTACGCAGAGGTCATGGGCTAACCGCTAACGGGATCACCTCTCAATGCTTGTCGAAGCATTTCCGCAATGTAATTATCCTCGGGCTGCATATCTGTTAGGGTCTTTTGGGGAAGTGGTTTCTGTTCACCGACTCTTGTTGTTGTCCAGTGAGCGGTGACGAATTTGTAATTGCTCTTGCTGATCGAAAGGTCGTGTTGTCATGACCTTCACGATGCGAACTGGGCTGATATCATAGTCAGTTTCTGGACACGACCCCTACCCTTGGGTGTGGATTTCTTGGGGTGGCTTACACAGCCATCTTGGAAGCTCCTGCTAACTCTCCTACTTGCAAACAAGTCGCTCACACCAGTGATTCAGCAAAAGGGTGAGGCTTCGAGTTTCCAAAGCATCATTCAACCAAGGCGCTTCAAGCAGACGTGATGGTGCAAGTTCTGCTGGGGGAGCCCTGTCGCAGTCTTCTTGGCGGCCTTCGCGACTTTAGTAGGGGTTTGGAATTGGGATTCAGGTTTTCGAGTGTCGTTCCACATGTTCGCTGCAAAAAGAAGAACCGACCACGAGGTTTTCGGTCCGTAGGTAATGTCTCCGATTCGTGCTGCTTGTTTGGCTTCGGACCCTGGCATTACCTGCAGGCTGCGGACAGGCCGCGAAGCTGTATAGAGCCTTCTGAGCACCTACAGTTGAAGAGTTGAGGGTAGCTCCCAAATCAAGGCTCTGAGAAACCACCACAATCGAAGGTAAGTTCCCAACAAGAAAACATGGATTGGGCTCCCGGGTATATTGCGTAGCCAAGACCTAATGCTTTGAAGCTCCACATTTTCAGGTAGACTGAGGGTAGGCCGCTGGGCCTCAAACATGCAACAATGAAGGATCTCTACACCCTGAACCCCCACCTTCACGGCTGATTTCTTACAGACGGAGATGTTTGGGGGCCTCTGAGGAGTGGGAGCAGAAAGGCCTCGAGCTGCCGGGAAACGTGAGCGACGACTTGCCGGAAGGCCCGGGTCGTCGGAAGGGCTCGGAAAAAGGATTACGACGAGGCTTCTACGAGGGTTGCATAGCGGCTCAGGGTCTGAAGGCGTATTGCTGCCACGGTTTTGGGCTTGGGGGCTTTAGGGCTTCATGGGATGCTAAGGAATTTAGTGAGCTAGTGGTTTACAGCGGTGTTTGCGGGTTGAGGGCTTGAAGGAACTGGGGACAGGATTCGGGTTCGTACAGGTTCAACTGAAGGGTCCAGCTTGTGGCATTCAGATGTTTGCGCTTCGCAGGAAAGTCTTGCGGTTCTTTCGGCGACTTCCAACTCGCCATTCTCAACCAGCCCCCCTTGAAAACCATCCAACACCCAAAAAGTGTAGTCCTTTAGTTCTTAAGACAATCCGGCATGGACCTTCTCAAACGCTCTATGCCCAGCTCAGCTTGCACCCCTCCAAATACCCCGCAAAACCTGCAATCCTTTGAAAGAACCCCGCGGTGGAAGCTGTTGATAATGGCTCTACACTCCTTATATCGGTATACCCCCGACACAGCTTGCATTCCAGAAGATGTGCAGGTGTGCACCGTCTCGCAGCAGCGCTGCGCGAGCGGGGCCTTTCAGCTCCTTGCCATCGGAACATGCACTGCAGGATATAAGGTTTGGGATGTATTGTGTTCAACGTGAACAGTCATGGCTATGTTTGCTTCTTAAGTTCAGCTTCTCAGGGGTTAGCACGGCTACAGGAATGGAGCTGTGGCTGAGCCGTTGGGTTTTTGAGGATAGGTCCGGGCGCCTGCGTTCCGGTAATTTTAGGCCCTAAGCACCCCGCAGCTCCGCATGTTCCCCGGAAGCAGGTTGATGGGGTACACAACGTGCTCGAAGAGGACGCTCCAATTGGCGGAACATGGCTTCTTGCTGCTGCTATGTGTGCCTAGACCGGTGCACAGCCCAAAGCGCCGAAAGCCCCAAGCCCCGAAGCGCCCCCTACAGCCTGCGAAGGACCACTCGACTGTCAAGCTCTCTCTCGTGAGCCGCGGAATGATGTGGTTTGCACGTCGCTGCAGCTAGCGATTGGAACTGTCCAGCGATGGGCAATGTAAGATGTGGTCCTTTATGTGAACGAGCGCACAGCCCAGCAGCTGGATCAAAAGCGGTGCTTGCTCGCTCACTATCGCGGCAGAGGACCTAAGCATGGCAATCCCGTGCGCAGTACATACGAGATCCATGCAACCAGTTGAGGCATCAAAGCACCCCTAGGCTGTGGCAACACGGCGGTAGTTCTCTAGTCTAGTCTAGTATAGGGTCCTTACTCGGCATGCTTGCTGGAAGCATAGGTAGCTCAAACCCAAACCCTCAGAAACTGCCCGTCGACGCCATGGATGTTACAAATCTAAGAGAGCTGATACGAGAACCCGGAAGCCGCTGTAAAACTAACAAGCCCTAAGAAGGGAGCAAGAAATACAAAGCTCCTCGACAGTGGTCCCAGCTTAGAGTTAGGGTATCCTCATAAAATGCCGCATAAAGCCATTTCGAGCAATCGCGCGAAGCTCCATAGTACCCTGTCGAGCTGTCCGGTCGTTGAAAGCCGCACAAAGCTCTCGATAACATTGGGGAAGCCGGTACTTGCAGGCTCCCGAAGATGAATGACTCCATGCAGTTTGACATCCGCAGTGTCAAGGACATAGCTTTACAGGGTTCAGCCAGGTAGGGGCTTTGGGGCTTAGCGATTTGGAGCAAGAGCTTTGGGTAAGCCAGATTGTGTTCGCCAAGCTTCAGCAGCGGTTGAGCTGGAGACTTTCAACTACTGCGGTCTTCAATGCGGAAACCAAAACCATCGTCCTTGCCTTGGCCCACAAGCCTGCAACTCCGGTAAATTTAAACCGGATTAACTCCGACATCCAAATGCCCGGCAGCCTTGCAAACCCAACGTCAAAGCACACCCTGAGTTTCCTCCACAAAGAGTGCATCGCGGCTGAAGGACAACATTCAGAGCTATCTGACCGATCTTGTTTACAGACCCGTAAATCGCCCAGAGACCCCGCGCCGCAGCCACGCCGCCCCGCCTCATCGGCACAGAAATCCTGTAGACCTCGCTAGGACTCCAGCTCCTCAGCTGCCACCTGCATTGCGGAGTCCGTCGATGGCTCGCCGGAGGCGCAGCCGCAGAGCGTTTAAAGGGGACTCCGTCCCTCTCCTTCTGCGGATGTTTGCTCGTGGTGAAGTCATCTTGCTTGTGGCAGTTTGTGGCTTTGCTCTTTCTGTTGTTGCGTAGCTCCGCTGCTCGGGGTTTGGGTGCGCAGATTGGGTTTCGTGTCTGCTGGTCAACTATGACTTCAGAGTTTCCGCTCTGCTCTTGTGCTCTAGAATCTAGAATGCCCTAAAAACCGGAGACCCTAGATGAGCTGCTGTTCCAGTCTCAAACATCACCAAGTTTTCACACCGATAGACTGCAGACTGTGACAGGCCTTTTGAGCTGAATCGCAGTCTTTGCAAGACCTCCCAAGCCCTCAAACTTGCAACAGTTGCAAGTCCAAAAACCCAAAGCCCACGTTCATAAACGGGCCTCTCAGCCCGTAGACGCTAACTCTACAATCCCAGCCAATCCGGAGCAGCGCGGTGAGGCGAAGCCAGGTGTTCGGTTGAAGATTGCGCAGGAGCCGACTTTTTCGAAGGAAGTTCTGGAACATTCATTTACTACTGTAATGTGGGCTTAGCTAGGATTTGGTGGGCTTTTGGGATGCGAGTTTTGAGTTTCGGAGGTAGATCAGCCTTCGGGGTTCGGATTTAGCAACCAAGGCACACACGACATGATGAGTCTCCAGTGCTGCTGCCTATAAGTCCCCATCAACAACTCCAGGACCGGTAGACCGTAAACCCTAAATAAACCGTAGCCCTGCCATCCGACCAGGAGGGAAGAAAACGTGAGGCCGCGCCGGCCTCACCGCTCGGCATCCCAGACCAGTAAGGAAGCGTCGACGGGAAACGATATGTTGGTATGTCTTTTAATAAACAGAGTCGGAGTCTCAAAGGTACAATGTCTGGTATTCTAGTTGTCCAGGCCCCCATACTGCGTGGGCCCTGTTCTCTGCACTCCGAAGAGCTGATGGTCAGCATGGGAGATCAACGCAGCAGTGCCGCAGCAGTCTTGGTGTTTGCTGGAGGGGTGGGTAAAATCTAGTCTGCAGAGTTTCATTGGCGACACAATCGGAAGCAAAGAGCGCCTGGGGGCCCAAAGAAGCAGTCAACTCCACGCTCAGGCCAGCCGAAAGCTTCATACACGGCTTCGAGAAGCCCGGATCCCAGGGTTGATATGAGGAAAGCCTAGATGCAAATTGCATGGGGTGAGGGGTTGTGTCAGGGAATTGTTCCATGGGGCTCTACGAGGTTGGCGGCGGTTTAGGGGCAATATTTGATAGGCACTGCTTGCCATCGAACTAGGATGAGGAGCTATGTAGAGCAGCTTGCCCAGACTGAGGACAGAGGGCTGCCAGCCCAGCCCGCTGCAAACGATGTGCATGCAGCCGGGCGTCGTGCCCCATAGCAAGCTTCGAGGGCTTTTCAAAAAACACTTCAACCAGTTGCCGGCGCCATGCAAGGATGCACGCTCTGAAGATGCAAGCTGCAATAGGGGCAGTCATGCTGAGTCGGGAGCTTTGTCTCTTGCCTTGGCAGGTACTGGAGTGCGACGGGAGGCATGGCCTGGATAGCTTATAGTCCGGTGCGTGTAAGGATTATATACGAAGTCGTCGGATATCACCTTCTTGCCGGTCACGAAACAGCTTCAGAGGCCCTAGGTATGTGTTCAGTCACAAGGCAAAGTAATAAGCATGAGTCACAACACAATCTGGTCAGATTTTTTATTTCGCTGCTTTGCAGGAAGAAGTATGGCCCGCGGCCGCGAAGGGACCGCATGGTCCGACAGCCCGGAAGGTTTACGTGGACAGCGTGGTTCGGAAGACGTAGTGCTGGCAATTGTAGCGCCGCAGCAGTTTGCGCAGTGGTAAGTTGATTGAAATCTTGAGCCAACATAATCCTGAAGGGTTTCGTCAGGAGTTCGGCCTCTGCGCTCAAGTGTCTTCTGGAGAACACGCATGATGGGGCCTTTGTCAGATGATCGTGCCCATTTGCTCTGGAGATGATGAGACCCACTAGTTTGGTGTTGGTCGGGCGGGTCTCGTGGTGCTGTTGGCGTCTCCCAAATGTCGGACAGCAGCTGCGGAGAAACTCGGGATCCTGGCAAGTTAGCTCACACGGGCGCCTTCGAAATTCCTTCGGTGAAGTCAGTCATGGCTCATTAGAATGCTCAGGATACCGCAGAGTACAAATTGGCACGGGGTACTACTATGTGCACCGGCTGGTAGCCGCCACCTTTTTGAATACTCCTGCAGATGCAAGCTGCTGGCAAGTAAACCACCGGGATGGAGATCGTCTAAACAATGCCGTATCCAATCTACAGTACATGACTCCTGCACAGAATGTAAAGCATTCATGGGAGACGAACTCGAGTCGAACATCCGGCGCCTCGAAGCTGTGCAAAGCAGTCCAGTGGAGACGGCTGGGAGGGGCGTCGTGGTCATTGTGTGCTTCGCGATCGGAGGCTGCGAGGCTTCTCGGTGTTCATGCGGCATCAATTTCACAATGCTGTCGAGGGTTGAGGAGAACCCTCAAAGGATGCAGAGATGACGGGCGCTACGAATTCAAAGAGGTTCCTGCTGAAGCAGATAAGCTGTTGGACGAGGATTGGCGACCAGCGCGGCATGTTGGCGAGCTTGACACCACGATTGCCAACCTGATGGTAAGTAGCCATGGTCGAGTTGCACACTTGCTGCATGGGAGGGAATTTGTTAGCTACGGCACGCGACGCACGAATGGATACTACGCAATCAACAAGCGGGGCAGGTGCATGCTTGTGCATCGCTTGGTGGCTGCTACATTTCTCGGTCAGCCTGGCTACTCTCATCTGCAGGTAAACCACAAAGATCTAGATCGAGGGAACAATCATGTGACCAACTTAGAATATGTAACTTGTTCGGAGAATGTAAGACATGCTGCTGCTGTCTCACGGTCAATGGGGATCGAGCGCAAGGGCTCGACATGCAAGCGTGTTCAAGCGCGACTGAAAACTGGCGGAGTCTTCTGGCAGGATTTCGATTCCATTAAGGCGGCAGCTTTGCACACAGGCTTTTCAACGCAAAAAGTCTCCCGCTTGTGCCGCCAACCCAGCGAGGCTTCGTCGTGGGAGTTTCGGTTCATCCTTCAGCAGTCGCTTCCTGATGAAGAGTGGCGTGCCGTAGTGCTGCCGACAGTGATTCGCACCTTGAGCCACGTTTTGGGCAACAGAGAAGATGCAAGGCTGACCGAAAATCGAGGAGCTGTCGCGGCCTCTCATTGCCGGGGACCGTTCTCGAGCCACTGGGATCATGCTTGCAATACAAGCCTTGCGAGTGGGTAAACGGTGGCACGTGTCGCACACAGTGCCCTCCTTCATTTCATGCTGGTTGAATGAGGGCATTGTGCTGAGCAAGCGATGTGCAAAAAAGGGGGCTGTCTTCAGCAATGTTCGTGCCACATTGCCAAGTTCACTCACCATGGAACTCTGGTCGACTTATCAAGAAATGTTGCAAATAGCGACTGCGCTCACCTTATCTTCCTTACGGCCAGACTTACGGTCTGGGCTCCCTTCAGGCCTGGAAGGACTACAATGGCGAGGCCAGCGGTGGCAGGAATTGGGGCACGGGCTGACGACCGATATCTGGAGATCGGGCAGATCTTTCAGGAATCGAATCTGATTTCATCTCGGCATGCACCGTAGTATGGTTCATGCCTAGATCTAGATATGAGTATCATGGGTACAGCTGGGTGATTCGAAGACTCTTCCTGCTTAGACTGCACGACAACTATCCAGCATTTGGTTTACCCACAGTCTCCTCCAAATTCCGTCGAGCCGCAACCCCCGGCAAGCTTCCCACCGGAAGCTCTCTGAACCGACTTGGCCCCGAAGCTCAGCAGGGCCAAGTCATGTTCGATGTTTACTGGGACATGGGCGACATCTACGATCAGAATGCAGGCAGGGCGGTGGAGCTCTGAGAAGGTTCAAGGTCCCGGGGCCTCGGGGGCACCATTCGTGACTGAAGTCACCTTGCTTGCCTTTGAACGGGGCCCAAACATGCCAATGCTGAGGGCTGGTTGAGCAGTGCAAGTGTTCGGCCTCCAGCTTCATGTCATAGCTTTACAGTGTTGCTTCTAGCTTCAAATGTGTGGAAGTTTGAAGAATCTTCTTGCTGTTCGCCAGTGCCTGCGAGCTGAAGCCCTCAAACCAGGAAGCACCAACCAAGCAAGTCAGACGGTCAATTGCAAAGCCCTCCCAACCCCGCCACGTAAGAAGCTCGAATCAGATCGTGGCACAAGCAGCCGAGCATTTACAGGCACCGAGGTCGTGACCTCCACAGAGAGCCCCACGGCCAAGGAGCAGCCAGTTTGCACGGGTCTTTGGATTCTTGTGCACATCGAGTTTTTTTAGCCGACCTTCACCCACACCATGAGATCGACAGGAGCTGGCTGCAATGGTTGCAAGACCATCCACGACGAATCTGGAGGCCCACGGCAGGTTTCACAAGAAGCTGAGATGCGAACAATGCTTTGTCATGCGCTGCTCTTCTCCCTGGCCCGTTTCAACTTTGTAGCATCTGTGGACCCAATAACTGCAGGCATGTAAAAGTGCCCTCATCATGTCATCTCAAAGGGCATACCGGATACTATGCTGCGGCTGCTGTTACGGCTCCTGCGAAACGATAACGGCGGCGACAAACGCTGGAACCAGAAGGTCTTGGAATCCTAAACCTCCGACGCCACAAGGCACCGAGACTGCGCCCTGAACTGCTCCCCAGCGCAGAGTGGGGTTGCTCATAGACTCTAAACCCTAAGCCCGAAGCCTCTGGGAGTGGTGATTCGACTTGTGGCTCCAGGCATCGCAGCCTTGCTCCAACGACGGCCGGACCCTCAAAAATGCTTCATGATCCCTTGGGATTCCGGGTATCAAAGTTTGGTGTTTCTAGGGCTTCAGGATTCAGGGTTTGGTCGTTCGATATGCTTCCGTTCCGGGTCCAAGGTTCGAGGGTGGTTGACTAAGTGTGCGGGTGTTGAGATGTTGGGCTGCTGCTTTGTCTAGGGCGAATGCGGATCCCTTTACGGTATGCTTCGGCGGATCGTTTATGTGCCCTTTTGTGCTGTGTAGCTGACCCCCTGCTCCTGTCCAAACGGCTTCCACCATGACTTCGGCTAACTTGTATTAATACCCAAATCTCTGAGAGCTGCGCAGAAAACCCAAAGTGGCACAGCCCCGAAGATGCCCCCAAACAGAACCAAGAGCCAAGAGGTGCAAAGGCTCGGCCTGCCTCAGCACTGCAAGCAGAACTTCGTGCCCAGCTGGGCCGATTTGAAGGCCGTGGGTATTCGTCCTCGGCAGGGTTTCGGCGGTTTGGGGAACTTCGAAAATTGAAGGTACAGCGGGTTTAGGGCTTTCGGGATGGGGGAGTTACGGGATGAGGGCTCCCCTTTGTGCGTAAGTGTTGGGGCTTGTAGTTCAGTAGGCTTCATTGCGCAATTCTGACCAAGACAACTGATTAGCGCGTTGAGGTAAGTCTCGTCATCCGTCTACCAAGCATGAATTTCGGAAAGAATGATTCGACTCCTGTATTAGTCTTGGTTGTTGAGGTTTAGAGGTTCTTACATGTCAGGTCTCCGGGAATAGAGCCCAAGCCCTCAGTTAAGGAGGGTTCTTGAGCGACTTATTAATGGCTTCAAGAAGTTCAAGTCGGCGTTGTTGGTTTCGGTATACCGTATCACTGTATCAAAGATTGTGTTTAGTATGGGTTTCGAGGTTTAGGACTGCATTAGTTTGGTGTTGGTGTTTCAGAGTTTGGGCGTTTAGGATCCCGCAGTGCCGGACTTGAGCTTCGGGTGAGAATAAAACCGCATGCCCTGAAGCTTTCATCCCGCCAGTAGATCCCAGAACCTAAGAATCTATGCCCCTAAACCAAAGCCGAGCCCGGAAGCGCCAGAATACAGCCTCAAAGCTCTGCTGCAGGTTTGAAGCGCCCGGCATCAGCAAATCTGCTCGGCGTCAGCAGATCCCACAGCCTGGGAGGGGCGGGAAGACGGATGATGTCGGACCTCAAGTCATAGCATTCTTCGGAGACCCGTTGCCACTACTAACGTGACTACAATAGCATCACGGTGCCGAGACTCATTATCACGATGAGCCATCAGTTACGAAAGGTTGGTTCTGATAACAATGCCATGGAAACCAGCGTAAACCTATAGGTGAGAGTTCGGCTGGGCTGGAGTCCTGGATAGTTCTACCCTCCGGTCTTAAGCTCGTTCCTATGCACTACAATCCTTGAGGCTGGGTCTAAGCTAGACGTTCCGGAGCCGGCTATGGCTCTGAGAGCGCCAGGCATCTTTAACATGCTACGTCCAGAACCCTACGATTTACGTTAGGACGGTGAGGACCTTGAGCTGCTCGTCCATGTTCCAGTTCACTGCGTGTCTGCGTGCTCGAACAAAAAGACATTCATGGTCCTGCAAGAACCAGAGGTTGCGAATCTCTTTGTAGTCCTGAGCCCCAAGCCCTCTCGGATGCTGAACCGGCTAAACCGCAAAAGGCCTATGGCCCTCTTTAAGACCTTCAAATTCAAAACCTTGGAGCCCCAAAGGCTAGAATCCTTTGAACGAGCCCCTGAGCACCAAAAGCCTGAAACACTACACCCTTACATCCCTGAACCCGAAAACTCTATGCTCTAGTCCCAAACCAGGATTCCAATAAAAAGCCTGAAAGCTCAAACTCAGAGCCCCAGGGGGCGAGTCGCTGTTTTCGACCTCCAAGTCGGCAGCTGCGGTGGTCACAGCTGCTGCTCGGCCTCGCAAAAAGGTTGGAGGAAACTTCAGGGTTCTAGAACGTTGAGAGATTGTAGGGTTGTTTGAGTCGCCGAGAGACTCCCGTTTCCTCCTCGTTCCGGGTCCTGTCGGGGATTTTGGAGTCGGCTTACACAGGCATAAGAGCCTCAGCGTTCAATTCAGGTTTGGGGTTCCTGCGTTTTGGGGGATTCAGGCTTTCGGGCGCATGATGGAAGGCTGAGGCTTGCGCCGCTTACGGTTTAGGGAGGCTTCCGACTGGTCTGCCGCCAGAGTCCAGTGTTGGTTATCGGCGAGTTCATCGCGGTTGCATGGCGAAGATTTACGCAGCCTCTCTTGTCTTCGTAGGGCGGGACCCGAACTCCTTCAAAATCTTGCCGGCTCCCGCTCGCACGCTGAAGTTGATGCATTGGTCGCAAGGCCCAAAACCAGCCATGCGAAGCGAACTTCTATAAACCGACTCCCGCAGCGTCCCGTGCCTCAGGCTGTTTGCTGGCTTGGCCAAGGCCAACGTGCAGTTTCGAGGAGTGGTAGATCGCATGTCTTGAAGTCTCGCACTACCTGAGCTTCTTGGTGACAACACCCCCGTCTGTTGGCAAGGATAGCAAGTTACAGATCCGAGCCTGGGATGTGGCGGATTTGCAAGGAGTTGTTGAAAAGTAAAGAGTGATGGTGACCCGTAAACTCTAAACTTCCCGAAACTGCAAGACGCCAAATCCTAAGCCCCAAGACCGTAAATCCTGCACCCAAGCGTCCGCCTCAGCCAGGTACCCGGAGCGGCGTTCCGGCTGACAGCAAGGTACAAGGTCCGCCCTCGTAAATTGGGTTTGGGCTTTAAAGGGGTGCTAGGGACTTCTCTCGGGGTCTAGGGCCAAGCATTGGCTCTTAGCATGGGCTCTTGAGGATTTGGGGCTTTAGATTTAGGGCATCTAGGGTGGCCGACACTCAAGTGCCAGCTATTAACCCGTGGTACAGCTACTGGTCACCGCTGTTTTGCACTGGTGCTTGCTTGGTTCTAGACCCCCAAAATTGCATCGGACGTTTGTC